TGGACATGCACGCCTGGCCCCTCACCCCATCATCCTGAGGACTGGTGAGGCTGCACCCCAGGCCTCACAGTGAGGCCTCCAGAGCCTAGCAGGGGAGCCCTGGAATCACAGGACACCCTAAACCCCTTGAGTCCCAGCCCTGGAAGATCAGACTCTGCCGGCAGAGGCAGGGGCCTCCTGAGCTGCCCCCCAGATTCACACGTTCTAAGGATTTTCACACCCTTGTTTGGTGGGGAAAAGCAAGGCTGCCCAGAGAGGGGCAGGAACTTCCTTGGAGACACAGCTGTCAAGGCAGCGCTTGAGAAGCAGCCTCCAGATCCCCACCCAGGCTCCTCCTGTCCCCAAGAAGCCACAGTCACTGCAGGGAGGGCGGGAAGGGCCAGGCTCTTGTTCAGACAGGTGGGTGCAGGGGGCTTCATTGGATGGTCTGAGGGTGGGAGCAGATGCTCACGTGTGAAGGAGCGGAGGTGGGGAAACCGTGCTCGCGTCTGAAAGAGCGGGGTGCATGCAGCACCTGGGGAACCTGGAAACCTCCACCCACGATGGTGACATGAAACAGCACCCAGAACCCAGGAGAGGGTCAGGGGCCCTACTGGGCCAGTCACACTGCAGGGTCCAGGGTGGCAGGGACAGCCCAGCCACTGGTTCCATAATGAGACAGGCCCGGCCTTGGAAGAGGACCCCCGGGTGCTGGTTCCCTTCATCACTCACCCACATCAGGGTCTCGAGGGCCCTCCTGGGGGCCACCTGTACCCTCCTCCCCTGAAATGCTCATGGTGGCCCTGGAGATGCCAACCCCATTCCCCTAGGGACACGTAAGGAAACAGGAGGACCAGAGCCATCCAGCGCCTCCTGGAGTGAGGATACCCCTCTGAGCAGGGACCCTTCCGCCTGCGCCTTCCCCAGGCGGAGGGCTGGATCTCCTGGGTCTCTGGAGTCTGGGTTTCAAGGTCTCTGCTGGGGGAGCCCCTGAGGGGCTCACCTAGAGTCCAGGAGGCTGGTGGGTGTTTGGAGGCAGAGCAGAGATCATAGTTCCCCCTCTGTGCTGGGCACTGTGCCTTCTGCTTTCTGGAGCTCCTCCCCTGGAAACCGTTATTCAAAACTCAAGAGGAGGCTGTGTGCGTGGGCAAATGCCTGTAATCCCAGCACTTTGGGAGGCCAAGGCGAGCAGATCACTTTAGGTCAGGAGTTCGAGACTGGCTAGGCCAAAACAGTGAAACACCGTCTCTACTAAAAATACAAAAATTACCCGGGTGTGGTGGTGGGCGCCTATAATCCTAGCTACTCAGGAGGTTGAGGCATGAGAATTGCTTGAGCTGGGGAGGTGTAGGTTGTAGTGAGCCAAGATCACACCACTGCACTACAGCCTGAGTGACAGGGTGAGACTCCATCTTTTTTTTTTTTAATAAAGACGGAGTTTCACCATGTTGGTCAGGCTGGTCTTGAACTCTTAACCTCAGGTGATCCACCCACCTTGGCCTCCCAAAGTGCTAGGATTACAGGCATGAGCCACCGCGCCCAGCCAGAGACTCCATCTCTAAGACCAAACCTCAGGTAGACATGGTGTCTTGGGGCCATGCAGCTGCAGTTTCCCTCTGTCCCAGGGCCTGTGCCATGTGCCCTCCTGGCCCCTGCAGGGATCCCCATTTATCCCTGTTTCATCCACGGGGACAGTCTGGGAGATGCTTTGAGCCAAATTTTCTGTTTTATTTTGTTTGTTTTTTTTTTTTTTTGGGAAGGAGTTTCGCTCTTGTTACCC